AAACCAACTGCTTTAGCCATTTTGGCGAAGGCTTAAAATCATTTAAAAGTTTCAAATACTTGCTAAAATACATCGTTTTTTTTTCATTTGAGCTCCATTTTTCGGCATTCCATAGCCATGCAAAGTTTACGTGTCAAACGATCTATATTAAGCGTCATGAGGGCACCGAGGCCAAGGCTGCAAAATGGAAGGCAAGGGCAGTTTTTCGTAAAATTATATTTTGTGCTTTATGTGTCTAAATTATGGTATAAATGAAGATCTGCTTAAAAGTCTGGATTGGTCTGCAGTGCATTAGTTGGGTTGGAGGAATGATTTGGGGGAAATTTTATAGGAGGGAAGGGCAGAGGATATTTGTGCTTTGTTTGTCTAAATTATGGTATAAATGAAGATCTGCTTAAAAGTCTGGGTTGGTCTGCAGTGCATTAGTTGGGTTGGAGGAATGATTTGGGGAATTTTAGAGGGGGAGGGGGTTTGCCAGAAAAGAGGTGGGTTTGCTAGAAAAGGGGTTTCTCCTGAACCATAACCTCCTCCCCCTCCCCCTACCCACCAAGGATAGGTAGGTATAATATATAATACATTTGATTAGTATTTTTTCATTTGACATGTTATTTTTGACTACCATAAATTTTTCATGCAAATTGTTGTATTTTAGAACCTCCAGTAGTGGCATTTTATCATCAGATGAATGATCAACCAATTGGAAAAAAGAAACAATAAGCAACTATATCACTCAATGATTAATGTCTGACCATTGAAGTAAAAGGTTAAAAGTGATACTTCACTACACTTCAACTATAACCTCTGACCTCTTACATCTTGAAATTTAATCAAACTGAGGCATGCATACATTTTGTATGCTGTGAGTATAGGTAGTGGTACACATTACAGACCAAAGAAATCAATCCTTTAATTAGATATCTGTAAGTTGTATTATATAATATAATTACATTGCGCTGTATTATTAAAATATCAAGAACTTCCCACATAAATTGAAACCATGACATGGTGCCTAGTTCTGGCCAAAACCTTTATACTAGGACAGTGCATATGTGGTACCATCTTTCCAACCTTTGTGGTGTTATCCTTCAATTTCTACAAAATATATAGGATGAACAACATATGTTTTTCTTATTTAGTCTTATTAAGTAGGGCACATGAGATCATGCAAGAGAAACTAACCAATATGTAATAAAGGATTTTATTGGTTAATTAAAAATGTTTTCGTGAAAATAAAATTGTTTAGCTCAGTCAGCTAAACTGGTGGTATAGCCACTATGTGTGCAATGAACTGTGGAAACACATAAAACCTTTATGGGTGCCTGGTTCAATTCCATCAATGTTGTCATTGTGTTTCACCTGGAGGGTTCAAAATAGTGCAATGTATTTTGAATAGCGCTTGGTCCTGTCTTCAACATGCCATAAGTGCAACTACTGTATACAACTGCAGTACAAAAGAATATGAGATTACACGAAAGACACATTTGGGGGATCTGGTTTTTCTATTTTGCTGCATGTAGACAATTGATAATCATGGTATAGTACATGGTATTATTATAGTACAGTAAAAACATGAAATACTGTGAATTTGTTGGAAATTTTTTTTCTATTTTCTGGGAGATTCATGCTTGCTTGTGGCAGTAGAGGAGGCCATCCCGACTTAGACCCTGGGATTGTATCAGGGTGTACACTGCCTCAATGACCCTTCTCCCCTCTCCCTCCCCCCATACACACACAAGTCTTCATAGTTTCTAATTTATTGACATCCTACAGTATATCAATCTTTACATATATAAAAAATAAAGACATTACTTATATAATATATATTTATTAAACAACATTTTAGAAATATATTTGATATTCATTATTAAGAAAAAGTAATATGCAACGGATCGCATAAATTACTCTCCATCTCAATGTTTTTTATTTAAAAAAAGAAGAATAAACTACTGGATTTCTGTCCTGGGCAAGACAGCAAAATCCAGTATTGCTATACAACCATGAAAATACAGTCAAATGCAATACACTATTTTTATTATACTATATAAAAACATTTAGACTGATATTGCTTAAAAAGTAAGAACAAAATAAGAAAATTTTAAGCCTGAAATCGACCAAAAAAAAAATAAGAACCCTGAGCCTTGGAAAAAATTTACTGGTTCTTATTTAGAAAACGTTTAGGCTTACAGCACATCCAGGAAGGAAATAATCACATACCGAGTACAGTTTATACAGCAATGTAGACCTTACTAGTCGGTATCACCTGAGCTCACACAAAGCTGATTACAGTAGCAAGCTCTACAAAAGTGTACTGAATTTTTCGGCTACTGTTAAAGCCTTTACAAACCACATCCTTGAAAATTGGCCATGTCTAGACTAAGGCTTTTAAAAGTTATGTAACACCACCTTCATCTGTTTCATAATAATAGCTGATTGGAATAAAATTTAATCACTGTCTTTGTAATAAGCAGACAGTATTAAATATGCTTTCATACAAGGCCTAATAGAAAATTAGCAGAATTTACAGATTCAAGGTTACTTTGTAGACTAATAATAAAGCCCATATAAAAAATTATTGTTTCACGTTTATCCACCTGAATGCACATTTATTTTGGTTGGATTCATTTTTTTAACCAACTGTGTCGGCAGCTCACACCTGATCTGATGTAAGCAGGGGGACCCGGGTATAGTTGCAGTTGACAAAAGTATGGTGAACATGTAGGCCTATTCTGTCATAACTGAACTGAAGTTTAGTTACTACCATGTCTGAGGTTTGATGGCTAAGTCAATAAATATAAACTTTGTTACATATGTTGATGAATATTGTATATATACTGTTACACAATAATACTTTTAAACTTTTTCCTGTTAACATTAATAATGAATTATTGAATTCCTCTTTCCTACACTGACTTTCAATACAGTAGGTGATAACAGAACAATAAATTCCAAAAATTCCTGATCAAAAATGATACATTAACAATACAACAAACTATAATAATAACTGCTACCTTTTTTGAATTCCTGTAAAATGAAAGTTTTAAAAAGTGATAGAAGATGTTGTGTAATAAATGGTAGAGGCTGGTACTCATGTTGTGATGAAATCCTAACACAGTATGCTAAACTCATTACATGTCGTTGACAATAGCCATTTACAGATGATAACATTTCTCACGCAAACATGGATCCTATAAAACTTTTTAAAGCTTCTAAACAAAAAACATGTCTGTACTGATATCGATCGTGATCAAATCTAAGAATCAACTTACCACATTAGATACAACGGCTGTCTACAAAAGATATGTATACCAACGACGGAACATGTTTGGTTTAACCATTATGTTTGGCCTAGATTACTGGTTTAGCCCACAGCACATTAACAACAGTACACCGTTTTCTGTTCTGATACGAGCATGCAGTGACTTTTATGTGGTCTAGCAAAGCTATTGGATAGATTCCTCCAACAAGTGATTCATTCCCTCATGACCTGGGTTAGAGTGCAGTACATTAAATAAAATAAGAATACTGGCCTAAAGACACCAGCTTTATACTACAGTACATGATCAATGGCATACCCTGTTCTTGCTTCACAAAAGCAGGGTTATAGGTTCGCATATTTTGAATAATTAATGGTCTCCAAATGTAGATGGTGGTATACTGTACCAAACAAGCAAATAATAAAAACTTTTCATTTAAAGCCAACTGTTATGCATGGACTTTCTTTACATAGTAAATTAAAATGCTGTTTGAAATGTTCAGAAAGTTATAAATCCACTCAAACATTTTGATACCTCAGTGGCAAATTAATATCAGTTACTATAGATCATATCTTATCAGATTGTTTAGCCATTTTAACATTTGATTTTAACATCAAAGACTAGACTTTTTCGTAAGATTAAGAATAGCCTATGCCTACACCTTCAATGCCCCCATCCCCTTTAAAGTGCAATTCTGTATTCTTTTTAAATTTGTTTTTGAAAATTATGGATGGCCCCTAGACTATAGCATTTAATATAGTGGTAGTGGCCTTTTTTTCTTCAAAAACTACCAAATAACATTAAAGTAATAAACAAGCTTGCCTATTTATCATGTCTATGAATATTTTTACAATCAAGATAAAGCAGAGATATAGAGTACCACAGTCGTGTCGTCACAACACCTGGTGGCGCCCTCTGGACATTGGTTACCGTTTATTTCGCGTGAATGTCTTCATAATCTTAATGGTTTAGAATAGGCTTTCTGGAATAGGCATTTTAAAACCTAGTAATGTACCGTCAAAATGTACTAAAAACACAAAAAGCTTGCATTATATATTAATTATCAAACACACATTCAATCATCAACATTTCACAAAGAAAAATTAAGATACAACTTCTTAATAATTACGTTAGAAATTTGGATCAATGGTTTGTCAGTGCAGAAAATATGTCGGTTGAACGGATTTTGTGTCGCTCATAGCAACGGAGTAGTATCACATGGTATCATGACGCAACACTGTAGTACTCTATACTATAATTGAGTTTTCTAATAACATAATTGTCATTTATATATTTCTGCGTATTTTTACCCTATTTCTCCTTGTATTTGGTGATTTTTTTGCCCAATATCTGTAGCAACTACTAAATTCTCTCAAACTAAGAACATTGTGGTAATCGATAGTAATTTCTCCATTCTATCCAAGTGAAGTGAGAAGTGCCTGAAGGTCAGTTTAAATAGGACTTTGCTTTGGTATATCTTACAAGTTACTGGTCATGTGGATAACATTACTTGGTCAGTTGAAAAAAACTAGTGCTAGGGTCAAATGAGTAGGCAAACACCTGGACAGGTGAGAATGGTATTCTGTTTCTGTCTCTTATACACATCTAGCCTAGGCCTAGGCACGTTTTGTGGAGTAGAGCCAGCCTAATAGGATTTGGATCGATGTTTATTTTATTGTTTTCAAATGAACATTTATTTTGGTTCTTCCGTCAAGCTACCCTAGTACAAGCCAGCCACTACTTACCCTTGCCTTGACAGAACGGTAGCACTGGACATCAACATAACTGAAAAAAAAAATAAGTGAATCCAATTTAATATTGGAAAAAAATGTTTTTAAAGTCAGGCTCGAGAGGAAAAAAATGTTTTAATATATTGTACAACTATTTAAAAACTGCAAAAAAAGGTGGAAAAGGGTAGTTACGTCCCTTTGTCACCCAGTTTCAATAATGTACTAAAAAATCTCTATCTCATTCACCATTCCAGAGTTTTTCGTCAATTGGGTGATTCCATATGTGGCGTATGGGACATTCAGAAACCGTTTTGCAGCCTGATTATTAATTAATAGTCAAAACAAAAAATTTTTACCACAATATGTACAATAAGTAACAACACATGATTGCCATTTTAGCTGAAATCAGGTTTTTGGAGGAAAAATATGTAAAAAAAAAAAGCTTGTGTGGCGTATGGGACGCAGATAAATTTCAGTTTTTTAAATAATAAATTCATCTTCAAAAGTCTGTGATTTTCCCAGTGAAAATTTTTTGTAACCATACATAAAATGAAGTCAGGAGTCCTAAGAAAAAATTAAGACCAGTTTTTTTCAGATACACATTGACTGTATTTAATTACCGCCTTTTAGAAATTTGGGGTCAGCGTGGTGTACGGGACAGCCAAAATGTGGCGTATGGGACTTCTCTGAATAAGTCCTTTAATTGATACAAACTAAGTGTAGCTATACTTAGGATAGAGTCAGGAGTCCTAAGAAGAAAAACACCTGTTTCTTTCAAATAAAAACTGACTTCACTGAATTACCTACCAACTTTTAAAACATTTATGAAAGCGTGGCGTACAGGACAGCCTAAGTGTAGCATACGGGACATCTCTGAATACAGCCTAAATTTATATACAAAATAATCCATTTTGCTAACTATAATAGCATTTCTTTCATTTTTTTATGCCTACCATGATCCTAAATTATGTACAGGTAAAGTATCTTTGGATTATGCCGAGGTTAAAAAAAAATTTCCCCATAGTAAACAAAATTTTAAAGATTTTGAGTACTTGAATATAGGTATTTCCCTGTAATGATAGTACATACCATTGTGGATCTACATTAAAATCGGACTAATATTAATTTACAAAACTTTTTTTAAACAATATATTAAGATACCACTAATCAGGATAGTCAAAGTATTAATTCCAAATTAAATCTAAATAAATTATTTTATAGCAGAAAATTTGTTTAAAAACAGAAAATGTCATGGTGTGGCGTATGGACATGTCCTTGTGCCACATGCTCTGGACATAATTAATAGGCTAATTACTTGGAAATTAATTTATAGAAAAAATTCATAAATTTGCTTAAGCATTATTTATAGACTAAAAGCAGAGGATCTGAAGTTAAAAGTTTTTATCTTTTAAAATTTGGTTTTAGGGCTAATTTTCAGGCGTCTGTGGCGTACAGAACACAACGAAATATCACTAAAAAAACGTAATTTACTCCACAATTAATAAAGTCACATGATCGGGACTGAATGTTGGCTTACATTATATCCCATCATGTTGACTGGTAACATTAACAACTGTGTATAATCAATCTATTAGTAAATACATATTAAAATAAATTGAATAATATTTTGAAGATAGTCAAAAACCAAGAAAATCATCATTTTTATATAAAACGGCTAAAAAATATAACATTTCCAATAATTTTCATGAAAAACTTAATTGTTTTTAATACTAGTGTTATTTGGTTATGCAATTCACCCAAAAGCAGATGTTTTTGATCAATATTTGATTTGGCCACTTTTTGACTTTCTAATATGGAATCGCCCAAATATGCTTTTTGGGTCTGAAAAATCAGTTGTACAACATATCAAACATTTTTTTTTTCTCCAGGGGCCTGATTTTAAAGGAATGATTTGATTTGATTTGTCTGATTATGGTGCATTGTTCAACTTCAAATACATTGAAACACATAATTTATTTAAGAATATCTGAAAATAAGCATTCATTATCATCAGACAAAATCTGATTTATGCACTGTTAAGTCTGAAAACAAAAATCTGATTACATATGCTTACTTACACTCCCATTAAGCAACACTCCTAATGTTGCAAGTCAGAAGCACATCGATGATAATGATCATAAAAAATTATGCACAGGTAGCCCATGGATGCAAGTAAAACATGGTCATAATTTTTACTGCAAAAATTCAAATATTTACAAGTGCCACACCCATTTTGATTTTTTTTTCTGTTCCTGCCAACCAACAATTATTCTTCCTTACTTATTCTTACCAAACAAACTGCACTGCATTGACTGTTAAATCTTCACTACTATTGCATTTGTCATACTAAATTTCATAATACGAAATCAATGGAAAGATGTATCACATCTTTAGCATCAATGTGAATAAGTTGTGACACATTATGCTAATTACCAACAAAGTAGCTGTTGCCAGTCAGGTCAGGTGATAAAGAACATTTTGAAATGGTGGCAATTCATTGTGGCATTTAATACACATTGAAACGTTTAAATGATAGGCCTATACCGATGGTAAACTTATGCTAGTTGTTGGTCCTGTACCCATTTTTGGGCATCTGGAAGGGGATGCCACAGGGGTTGCGTTTCAATGCTTCCAACCTCAAGGTCGGAAGTTCAAACCTACGCTGTGAATTTGCTTGTGTCCATGGGCAAGGCACTTCACATACATTTTGCTCTTTCCACCCCGGTGTATAAATTGGTACCTGGCAGGGTGATGTGGCATTAATGCATTAGTTTGTATCGGCATTAAATTGCCAGCACGAAGTAGGAATACTCCCTAATACCAAGTCTAGAGGGCCTAACGTTTGGTAAAAAGCAAAGCTAGCTCCTACTACTTTTGACAAAAATTATTTTAGAAGTTTATTGGAAAAGCAATATATGTTAAGTTTACGTAAAAATTGAGACGCACTTAATAATGACAGGTGTTTTTTCAGCCTTGGCACGAAAGTGTGACATTGCTCTGTTACGTGCAACCTTATACATCTGATATCAATTATGCACTGTTTAAAATCTGATGTACGTTCCGCTTCTTTATGATTAATAATAATGTCTGACAATATATCTTCCACAAGTTTTACATAAATGCAATTTTATTGTTAGCTTAACACATTCACGTACAGTATATTGATGATACACAAACTTGGGCATTTTTTCACTCATAATTTTTTTGACCTTTAAATACCTCTTACGACTTATTCAATGACCTTCTATGTGACCTAATGTTTATATAAATCAATTTTGTTGTAGTAGTTTGTCAGTTTTACTATCATTACTAGTACTTCGTCAATTACATGTCCAGGATCACTGTTTACTTTCAGCTGGACAGATGATTTATCTATTTATTATTATTATTATTATTATTATTTATTATTACTATTATTATTTATTTATTCATTATTATTATTATTTTATTATTTATTTATTATATTTTATTATTATTTATCTATAATTGAATGTTATTATTCACCAGAGCACAGAGCTCGTCGGGCAGTCACACCATAAAACATATAAAAATAGGCCCACACCAAGACAACACGTCTGTCACAGTCTGAGAGTGCCATTTTCGGCCATCCAGAGATTGATATTCTTTAAAAAAATATCATTTGGGAAGGGGAACCCCTCTCAACCCCTTCCCCCAGCTGGAGCCTACGAGCTCAAATCCCCGTCTGACAACTTAGCACCCCCCCAGAAAATATATCCTAGAGCCGCCACGGCTCTGCCACTGGAGGTGTGTGCTACTGTATGGGGGTTGGGGTCTATCTTACAATACTGTGCCACTGAAAATCAAAGACCTCGAGTACCATGCACTATAAGCGGACTCTATGTTGGTTAAGAAAAACCACCACAGAACTTTTTTTACAAACTACTGGAAATAACTGTTAAATGGATTTCACTGCTTCAAGTAAAGAAAAACCTCCTGATTAGTAAAATAGTTGTGGTGGGCCATTATAGCCATATAAGATTACCGATATCTCTATACATTTACCTGCAAAATATTCTTATGAATCAAGTTGTGGTCAACCACCTTCAAAAATGAAAGTAATATGCCAGATAATCCTATATGCAATGCATGTAACATTCTATTCCATTGCATCATTTTGAATACATAACATAATGAGCATCCATCATTCAGACAACTTGTACAGAATAAATGTCACTCCCGAGCTAACGACAATGTTCTATTCAAAGTATAATATCACAGACATTCGCATTCTCCACGCTCATTAAAGAGCCAACAGCCCAGACAGAGTGTATCTGCTGACCTCGCGGCAACCACTTGCAACGTGCGACCTATTTCTACAGATTACACAAATATCCTCCAAAAACCTCCATAGAGCTACTACATACATCTAATGCCGTGCATCACATTAGCAGTATGTTTTAACATTCCATGCGACCCAGTTAAAGTAACAGTCTCAAGAATTCAGGTCTTCATTCAAATGCGAGCCCGTATTTACTGGAATTGTACCGTATCCTGTGTTTTCCGGCCAGTTGTGGTATGCAGCCTTATTCCAGGTCACAACCGTTATGTTAATGTGCTAGATTATGCGACTAGTAATATATTCACAGATAGTACGGTGATTGTACCGTGATTTTGCGGATGTTTGATAGTCAAAATGTTGCAATATTGTAAGTTTAAGTTGATTTTTGTTTTCATTCAGCCTAATAATCGAAAATGACTGACTTTACACACATTCAACAGTTCCACTGACATTAATGTTTACAATATAAATAAAATTACTGCAGATCTCACAAAAAGCATTCAACAAATTGTTTTTAAAATAAATATTTCAATTAATACATTTTTTTTAAACTGCAAAAATGGGAAATTTCAAGACAATTCTTTTCATCTAAGCTAATTATCACTGATCAGACAATAATATAATAATATTCTATATTTTTTAATCCTTTTAGATTTATTGATATGTGAATTCAAAGATTTTCATAGCAACATCTATAAATCAGTTAAAACTGCCATGTCTTCTTTGATCCTATAAAAAAACAGGGATAGCACCAGTGGGTGGGCCAGCTAGGCCTGAGCTCAGCCATCGGGGACACCTGGCCCAGCAGCCTTCGGGGAGTCGCAGTAAAATCTGTCTGGTAAAAATTAATTAATAATTTCATAAGCTGGAGACAGCTGGCCATTTTTGGCATCTAAAAGAGACATAACCTATATTTTTTAACCTCAGTCCTAACTGGTAGGGTTGAAGTGAATGGCTTGAACCTATTTTTTTTAACCTCAGCCCTAGGGTTGAAGTGGGTGGCTTGAATTTATTCTTTTTAGCCTCAGCCCCAACTGGTAGGGTTGAAGTGGGTGTGGCCTGTCTGTCAAGGAACGATAGACGACCCGTCAAGAAGATGCTAACCTCACAGCTGCCTTTAAAATGAGAAATTCAAGGTGGTCTTTATTATTGATTTTTTTAAAACATTCTTTTAAAGATTTTACCAGGCAGTACCTTAAACCATTATCAAAAAACGCAAAGGAAAGCTGAAACAGATTGTTTTGTGTCTGGACCAATTTATTGGATCTATTTTTAGCGAACATTGAAAGACTTAACAACCAGGTGATTCTGCATATTTACTTATCTTTATAAACAATCTACAGATTACAGATTCCAGTGTTTAATGGCACTAAAGTCCATGCACAAGTTATCTGTCTAATTTCATAATGCTGTCTGTCTACACGTAATGGCGGTATGTAAACAAAGGTTATATTTATCTATAAGTTTCAGAGCATTTTCTAGATAAAGCCAAATATTTTCAGATATTCGAGATTTGTAAGAGAATATTTGGTCATTCATAGACTTTATACAGGCTTCTCAATATCATATAACTTTATTTTTCATATTTGAAACTCATTGATGCTACATGTATTTTTTATGATAAGTGGGTATTTTATAACAAAAAAACAATCTGCTGTATCATCTCTAGACTAATTTGAAGTATAAAACAAATAAAATAATTAAAATTGCTATGAAGTGTGAACATTCTTTACTGACATAGGAAAATTACTATTGTTCTGAAAATCTTTGAGCATTGGCCCATCCCCTTTTCATAAAATTAGGTAAAATTTGAGGATGCGAAAACTTGCACCAGAAAATGCAAACAATAGTGAGCCTGAAGGCTAAGCTATGGCCTTGAAGAACCGATTCTGGGCTAGCCCTCACTGAAGGCAGAGAGCTAAGTGCCAAGTCTAAAGTAGCTACAGTAGCTTTTTGTCATGCTGAATTTGATTCATTATATTCATATTATTTCTCCTGATGCAAACATGACATCAAAATAGCATTGCAGTACCCACTGCTACTTGGGGATCATATTCATCACGAGCCACCAAGCACAAGCTTGGTGGTCGAGTGGTTAAGAGCCCAGACTAGTTATCTGGAGGTCCTGGGTTCGATTTCCACCCAAATTACTTGCGAGATTTTTTCTGCAAGCATTTGGAAAGCGTTCAGTACGATAACTCATCAGGTACAGTACAGAAGGGCCAGCATAATTCGTACTAGATTGATTATACAGTACTTCCAGAATTGTCATAAAAGTTTTGACATTAAAGGTGTCTGACATACATGGATGAATTATCTTTCAATATTTTTTCAAAATTTTAATTAGCACAATGCTACAGTATGAGAAACGAAAGACCTTCATGTTTATTATTATTTATTACCCCTGGCCACAATTTTTCTATCTTAAACCATAAAATCTTTGTATAATAGGAGTTTTGTTGCCCAGTTGACAACCACCAAGAGATTGTACACATATTTTGTTTCTTTTTTAAATATAGAAATAAAATAATGAATACCAGTATTTTGCATGAAGATCTTATTGCAAGTGATGTAATTATCTACTTGTCTGGCAGGGCTTAAACATGGTAAAAAATTTCCAGCATCCATGACACACTTGAGGGATTACAAGACCAGACAGATAAATAAATTCTACAGAACTAAATATTCATTTAATAATCCAATCAATAAATAAATTAAATAAACCGTTTATTTTGTGAAAATATTAATGAGACTATGACCTATCACGATTACATCGATGATGTTGTTAAATAGGACACAAAACAATTGTAAGTAAACTTTCAGCGAATGCTCTTTAATTTAAATAATTATATGCATGATAGATCTTTTATGTGCTGTAGTGAACATAGCATTAAAGGAGACAATGTGGTAACATAGTTTCATAACTACTGGAATGTCAGCCCTTGTTTTCGTTTTAATTACAATAGGGCCCTGTAAGGGGATACCTTCGGGAATGAAAAAGGAAATGTCCCCTTAATTTCTATTTTGTTCAAAATTCTCCGAAATGGAGAAATAAACTACATTAAAAAAAAAACAACATTTAAATACAAGGTTATACTGTACATCACAAAACACATAAAAATAGATACTGTAGGAAAATCAACTGACAAAAGTTCAAATAGAAAAACATTTCATTTAAGTGGTTTGGCTTCCCAACCTCGAGGTCAGGGTTGTTTCAGTCCCTCGCTGTGCATTTCGCTTTTTAACTTTAAAATAATACAGTACTTGAATCAATGCATCTTAAGCCAGGCACTCAATACGTTGGACGACCGTCAGCCGACGAATCCAACTTGCTATGAGTGTTAGACGACGTGACGCCACCTGCTGATTGTCGATGGTAGTCTGAACGGATCGTCATTAAAACATTCCGATGCGCAGCATTGTAACGTTGTATTGGACTTATTCGGTGTAAACACCAAGGATAACCCATGAAAGTCTAAAAAAGACTTATTTCCAGTGGGGTAATTCTGGTGGTGACTGGACAGGACACCGGGAGACAATCCCCTACTTTTTGCCGTATAGTGTACAGTGTTCTTTAACAACATGCACATGGGCCATAATGCACATGGAACCAACAGCTTTAACGTCTCATCTGAAAGACGGTGCATTACTGTCTTGCATTTCAGCACTCCAGCTGAAACACAACGAGAGCAGTGACGGGGTCTACTACCAGTTTAGCCGACTGAGAGCTGCATTCCTCATACAATCGTGTCATCCAATGGCATTCTGGTGCAGTGAGTAAGTGCCCAGCTTTCACGCAACACATAGTCATCATCACTGCATACATTATAGTCTCTAAACATGCATTAAAAGGAAATACAATATGACAGACATTTCCTGATAAAGAAAAAAAAATCACTCTCAGAACTAAAATAAATGTTTAAAACAATTATAATAAACACATTATGTTCATACAAATTTCTCTAACTTTAAAGGCAGCAAATAAAAATGACAACAAGTTTGTTTATTCATACTTATCTTTCGATAAGGAACATCTGCTGCTTATTAGGTAAGGGCAAGGCCTACAGTTTAGCCGATTCTGAAGTTACTGTAGACTTACATATTTATCCACAGTTCATAATTACTGTAATTATCATGTGATATAATTTAATTTTCTCATTGAGCAATTTACCTTGAGAAAGACATCTCTTTTGACACACCCTAAAATGGAAACATTTGAGTAACTTGTGTGGCCTCATGGTTAAGTTGGCAGAGCAATGAACGGTAATAGCTGAAGAATCTATGGTTTAAATCCAGATTGGGTCAAACATTTCTTTTTTTTAATTAAAAACTACACAGTGTATAATAACCATGATACATTATACATATTCATTTTAATTTTACATAATTTAATTTGTAGGAATTAATCTGTAAAATTTAGAAAATATCCCAAATTGACTGTATTTAAGGAAAATAGACAGTAATTATAAAGCATCCATGTAAATTACCAGACTTAAATGATTTTGTACATCAAAGCTAATACTACAAAAATACTATAAAAATATTCTGAATCATACGTGACCTCCACTGACCCCTAATCCAGGCACTTAATATATAGTACTGAACGAATGCAGTGAACACTACTTAGTCCACAAACTGCCGACCATATTGCCAAGCCCTAGGTTGTATTTCCTTCATAGATTAGAAAGTAAGTTTTGCGTAAGTCGTGCCTCAGGGGCCCCCCGGAACCAGAACGGAATGCCTATTGTTGATTCTAAGCATAAGTGTTTCCGGTCTCTCTCGATTAGATTTGTACATCAATATAATAGAAAAGTCATGAACTTAGATCATATACTACAGTACTAAATTTACAGTATTTGCCTTGCATTTTATATAGGACGGTTTTATTATCATTATTAGAATTATTTAAAACAGCTTCTTAAAACATGTATATTAAACATACAGGACTCAGCCTATGGATTAGTTTTTAAATTAAAATCACACATTCAACGCATTGTGAAAATTGCCAGACGGAACTTAATCTGGCATACGCTTAAACATGCATGAATAGTTTTTGAGCAAATTGGTGAATGCCTACACACGCCAGGCTATGTTTCGGTCAATGGCCGGTGTCTACATTGGATGCTGGGAACAAAAACCTTTCCCAGGGTACACCAAATAATCAGTATAAAAATAATTAATAATAAAATTTACACCGATAAAATAAAAAGTGCATGAAATAATCTTTAACATATAATTACTTTGATACAACAGAAAAATAACAAAATTATGTGATAGATTTATAAACACAGGCATGATCAGTAAATGCGTTCACATATTTATGCAATTTAATAAAATTGGATTTGTATGTTGTAGTATTAAGAATGTTGTATTATGGGTTAGTCCGCTATGCAGGCCTTTATTATTCTATAGTGGCAAAAGTAGGATTATAGTTCAGACCTTGAAGAATTTTTCATAGTGTATTTCATGGACTACAGTATACTATAACTTAAATTATTATTATTTACAAGAGAAATTTGCTGGGCTTACACTAACTGATCGCCAAGTCACCATAGGCGAAAAATATAATTTTAGATTGGCAAAAAAATAACCAACTGCATTTTGGCGAAGTCTTAAAATCATTTAAAAGTTTCAAACACTTGCTAAAAGTACTTTATATTTTTTTCGTTCAATCTCCATTTTTCACCAACGCTAAAGCCATGCAACATTTGTATTGTTGCATTTAGTAGTCTAATTGCAAACATCATTACATGCTTCGCAAAATGTTATTTGCTAACTTAGTGCGTTAGATGCTGGGCAGTGGCTGGCTAGCTAGTAGTATACCCTTTGGGCGCAAACTGACAAGAGTACACCTAAAGGCAGCCGACTGTCGCGTACATAACGACTTCCTAGCTAAGTTTTCTATAATTTAATCAATGATTTTGTGCTCTTGTCTGATACGTAAAATATATTTAAGTAATGTATGTTTTAAGAATGCACCATGCAAGTCGCTTTGTATGTACTGTAGAGCAGAGTGACAGCAGTAGGCCTACAGTAAGCTAAGTCACGTTTTAATCTCCCAAGGCTAGGCCCAGATCGTAAGTCCTCGATTATCGCGGTGAAAAATTTGGGTGACAGACGATCGGGCCCATTTCCAGACGATCGGAACCAAGCCAATTTTGAATATACCTTTCTGGGACTTCGTCCTATACATAATTATGCTGAAAATGCATAAAATAAGGGTTTCTAGACACTATGCTTTTACTTACAGCGAAAAGTAGGCTATTTTCCTTGCTCCATGACGCTTGTATAGTATTTTTTACCATCCCCACTAGCCCCTATCGTTTTCAAACTAAAATTATAGTTTCCTAGGCCTTCGTAATATTTTCACATTTTGTGTTATATATTCAGCAAACTTTTAAAGTACTACAATGGTGTGCTAAAAATATTAATTCGTCTATCAAATGTTATTTTGATTGTCAATCCTATGATGTCTAAAATCACAATTTTGAGTCATAAAAACTCTCTCCCAATGAACTAACATTGGATTTTTTTTCCCTGTACACTGACCAAGGTTCTAGTTAGCTCGGACAACTTATGATGACTTTTAACAATTTTCGTCAAGTTTTGGCTAAAGACATATTCAATTGGCTAAAAAAATTTGTTGAATTTAGGCAATTGGCTAAACAAAAAAAAAATGTTTGAGTGAGCCCAGATTTACAAACTGAGCAGAGTTTTATGACATACTGTACAGGTAGTAGTAGTTTATTCAGCATACTCAACCATGCTTGATACATACAGTACTGATGACTTGCAGAATTGTATTTAACTGGATTTTACCCGAATTATTTAGATAAACATTCAAAATTATTATCAGCCTAGCTACAGTAGTCCCTCACTGCAAGTTGGGCAGGCATGAACCATCAACAATACTAAACATCTTAATTGCACTCCATCCAAATTTGTAGACGTCCAAACAAAATTCAATTAACACATAATGCATGCCTGGGGGTATACATATAGGCCTACTGTAGGCCTAGCCTAAGTTTACAGTAGCACAAGGTTAGGCAGGATTAGGGCCTAAAGTTTTGTTTACACATACATTTTTACATTGATGATGCTTGTCAAAAGAAGTGCGAAAAGACAACCATTGCCAGCAACAAACATATTACCAACCAGGCTACTGTAGGACTAAAAAAAGGCAAAAATGATTATGTCAATAGATGCGATATATTTAAAACATTCGAGAATTTAGAGTTTCACATTTGTGAATAAAACATTTAAGAAATAATAATGATGAATCATAAGAAAATTAATGTGTTTGTGAGCTGAGCACCCAAACCAAGGCCTCTAATTTTCAACGACGGGGTCGTAAAATCAGTCGTCTATAGAGGAAGAGATGGCTTCGGCCAGGCATATCATTTTTCTAGTAGTACTACTACCTACTTACACAATAATTGTATGTATATGAAAGACTCAGCATTACGCTCCATTCCAAACTCGTAAACCAATACATTGGTGTCATGAAAACTTGGCTAACATAAGCTAGACATGTTGAAATCGTCTGCCCAACTCTCAAACATCATGATTTGCTTATTCACTGATGATGTTCAGCCAGCTCAGCTGATTGGATTTCCTGGCCTTGAATCTCCACTCTTCACCCTGTCTACATTATGCGGTTTTCCCAGCCGAGAAGAGCTCTTGATACCTGTCTGACATTCACTGAATTTCGCTTCTAAATTGTAATTTAATACGGAATTAAAACCTGTCTATTTCATCCATTTATGAGTTAAAGTCTTGGCTGCAGGAAATATACGCAATAGTTTCACTACATTATCCTCAAGTGATAGCTTAATATCGCATTTTATCCCATCCAAAATCCGTTTTGACCTTCTTTCATGTCTGGCCGGTTGGGCCAGACGGTTCATACCATTTACCCAGACAGGTAAAACCACAAGACAGGTTCATCATCCTTTTATTTCATCACTCAAATAAATTACCTGTTAATTTAAATTATTTAATATACCTATACAAGTAAAAGTCATTTATAATATAGTTCAGTAATTACGTGTTATTTTACTAATATATTAGATGAGTAGGAATTTATTTTTACACACGTTACCGAGGGCATTAATTTATCACATCAGTCATAATGGAAAATACCGGCAATTATAATCATATGCAAGATAATTGCAATGTTGGTGGCGCTCTGTGTAGCTATGGCAACTGTTAGCGACAACTTAGCAGTATAAACAAGATAAGTCTGTACCAAAGAGGCGTGAGCGTAAAAATTCAGGTCTTCCTACTTCTCAATTGGTAGTTAATTTAACATTTCATTTTCTCTCATACTGAAATCATGGCTGAAAAAATAGGAAAGGCGTGTGAAAATACGAATTTTGTAGCCAATGATCAAATCTGGTAAGTACCTGCCTTTTGAACTTAACTATCGACGGCAAAATCAACTTACTGTATTCTATTTGTAGGGTACAGCCATTTTGTTATTATATTTCAGATCTACAAATATTGGTTAATTGGTATAATAACATATGTCATAATTATTCAAGAGCGTACATATTGATATTCCTATTCTACATGTTTTTGGAGTCTGGGCTACATTACTTAACTTGATATCTTAGGCCTAACATTCTTAATTGAAAAATACTGCAAATAATCACTATTTATATTCATAATTATTTGTCATCCATCCTCATTTATCATCACTATCATATTTTTAGAGTTACCAACATGAGTAACATATCAAAATTAGCTTTGTTGAAAGGTGATATAAAGTTTTAATAATGTTTACATAGTTTCTTTGCATAAACAAAACTACACAGATATTTTTTTTAACTTCACTTCATTTTTTTAGGAAAGATCATATAAAATATGAAATTGTTGCTGCAAGAAAGTGGCCAAAAGAATGGGGTTTTCTGAAGACAAGCTACAGGGATGTAAGTAAATTTGTGTTAATAGAATAATAGGCCTATATATTAATAATATTCATTTTCAAGGGCAGATCCTGCATGGGGCATGAGGAATATCTGTTTTAGAAGAGATTTATATTCATGGAATAATCAATTAACAGTGAATGGAAAGGGGAAGGAGTAAGGGCTCAGAGTCTGCTACTCATGGTGATATACTTTTTTGTCTTTGCTTCCATCAATCAACTAACTCCATTGGAAATTAATAAACCCCAGTGGAATTAAGCTGTTTTTCAGCTTTATGGGTTATCCTGGTACTTTTTCATTGTCCTTTGTGAAGTTTGAGTACCGAATAAAACTAAATCAAACAGCATGTTTATCATGGAATAACATAGCTTTTCATTAAGCAAATATAATTATCATTATTACTATGAAACATCACCATCATCATCATCATTGCCATTATTCACCTCATCTTTATTTATTTTCATAATTTATTTTTATACATTGTTCACTTAGTTTCCTATACTTATGCATTAGGAAGCAAGCTAAAGCATTCTCCCATGAATTTCGCATCTGTTCTCCCCTATAAACATATTTAAGAGTGAGCCCCTGGTAATCTGCTAATCGACATTTAGTCTTCTTCATCACGTTTAGGTGTTGATAATTTTGTAACAAAATCCTGTTACAATTTCATAAATTCTACCAGCATATTTTCCATGTTACACATGACGATGTCACTGTTTGTGTAACACATTATGAAGAATGGTTTTCTGGCCAATCAGCAACTAGGAAGTCTGGCCAGGATCTGAGCAGCTAGTAAAATAAGTTGTTCATTCCAAACAATATTCCAGCTGTTTTTTTGAGTACTGTATATTGGGCCTTACAATACATTTCCCTTTTATAATATTAAGATATAGTATACTTATGTTTATATAATATAGTTAAATAATTAACTTCAACGGTATTTTGTTTAGCTAATTCAAAACTTCAACAATATAATTCAATATTAGAATTTTTTTTTTTGAAAAAGTTATTAGCATTTTCAGTCTAAAATTAGAACAAGAAAATATATTTCTTGCAAAGTAGCAAGCTCAAAAATGACTTTATAAAAAAATATATAGATCCGGCCCTTAAATTGGCTGCCAGAAAGTTTAAGAATTTTTATAGTAAAAATGCTTGTAATAGAAAAAAAAACTTAGATGTGTGTGTCATTGAAAGTTTATTTAACTTTTAAATCAATGTATTTTGGAGGATTTTAATTGAATTTATGACAAACATATTTAGTTTTAGTGATGTAATTTTAATATTTCTAATTCACATTGGTGTTCTTAAAGCCTTATTTACATATCAAATAGGGTGGAGCTGTACTAATTCATTAAATAGGCTTAAGACACATATATATGTTTTACCAAGAACAGCTTAAGGGCATTAACCTAGATATCATGTCCAACATTAGTCCAAGTGTCTGCCTATAGGCCAGGATTAATGTCGTCATATCATACAAACGCATTGTAATCATCCTAATGAAACTGTGACATAATATTCGATGAAAGACAGGTGACCGAAAACGTGCCCCATAAAAGTAATCCACCGTAAGTAATAGATACCAGTTTAGGTTTCATCCAGGGATTATCTCTTGTAAAATATTAATTTGTAAATTACATGTTATATTTAAAGACAGAACATAGGAATTGCAATGAATTGTTAGGATGTAACATAGGCCTACATTCAAAAGTTTAATTAAAGCCTTAAATTGCTCATTTGAGAGGATGAAATAAGTTATAAAAATTGCAATAAGGCACAGATCAGATTTCACTCATTTTTATGGACTTTTTATTTAATTGATTAAAAGTCAATTTATGGATTTTTGCAAAGAATATAGGAAACAAATTTATGTGCATTTTAATTAACAAGGAAAATATACTTTCAATTAATTGTTAAGATTGATATTAAAGTAAATAATTGGAATATTGAAATACACTCATCAAGTTTGTGCTCATAGTATTACAGCCTTCAAAACGGGAGTTTATTCTGATTATAAAGGCTTTCGGTCCAAAAAATACAATGCATTTTAACGATATAATACCTCCCTTTGGAATAATCTGTGGTGAAAATCTAGAGAGCATCATGGGTGAATTGACGAACTCGGCCAAATGGATTATCATTGTTGCAGCATGACTAAGGGTAGTGGGGAGCAAAATCTCCCGCCCCATGAAAAACTACATTATGTTAAAGATGCACTGTAATTTTTCATTGGTCCATAAATCCCGCTGCAACTGATGATGAAATCCTATACTATAATCAGTGATCGCTGCTATAATTAACTGGTTTTTTTTACTTCAAACTTAATTTATGATGAGATTTGTAGTTTCATTTTTGTAGACAGTCAAGGTTTAATTCGGTTTAACGGGGGAATTATGGGATAGACCGATTAAAGAGACTCAAAACTTTATAACATTGTCCCGACAATTATTGTTAAATAATTTAATGCCATCCATAGCTTGAGAACTATAATTTAAATTTGCCATAAGAGGTTTTGTTCAGTGTTGTTTCAGCTTTTACTTGCCAAAGCCAGGGACCCCGAGGCCTTAAATAGCCACATGATATTTAGGCCTATCAGAGTTTTTAGTCCCATATATTGGTCGCGATGGGCCTTTTGAATTACTGTGTAAAAAAAACCCATAAAAATACTCCCTTCAAACGTTACACCTCTGCTTTTGATAGTAAGAGGAAAGTGGACATTTCTTATGTTCTTGCAAAAACATCTGTACAGAATTAATAAGCCTATTACTACCAGGCAGAGGGGTTTTCCCGAGGGGTTTGTAATGGGGAGAAATATTTAGTTTGTCATTTCATGTTAAACAACGTTATTCTGTTTTCATATTATTTTTTTACTGTTTTTTTCTAATTTAAAAAAGAGATTTTCTGCTGAATGCACAAGGCCTGCAATGTTGCCAGTGGGAGAAGAGGCCTTAATCATTAAGCTAAGCCTTTATTAGCCGTGGCTTTTTTGTCTGACTAGAAAAGAAAAAAAAATTATATTTTCTTTTAATTTCTATGGGCATAATACATTTTATAACACCTGAGAATAGCTTGATTTGGCCAAAATTTCCTGGATCACGGAAACCCTCTGACCTCTCCCGGATATTGGCAGATGGCCCTTGCCTGGCAATATCCTGATTATTACCACATTATTACAGAATTGCGTGGTTTAGTGTCTGTTATTTAAGAAAAAAACCCACTCTGACGTATTCTATCTTTATTTCTTTGAACACACAATTGAAGTGAACATTTCAATCAATATATAGGCTGAATGTGAACATTCATTGTCAGTATGTGTTGTTTCGTTGCGAACTTAAAGCGTAAAAACAAGTGAATGGCGTGGGTTACGCTTCATCTGAGGTTCCCTAGACTGAATAAAAAAATTAGTATTGGCCTACATGTTAATTTCATTTCGTGTTTAATTTCCCAGGTGTGAGCATGAAACACTGTGGTATAAGGCGTACAAGACAGGTGCCCAAATATGTCTCTTCACTGGGTGTTGAAAGCTAAAAATATACTAAAGTAAATGGATTAAACATGTGTTATGGTAACTCTGTGTGATATGTATAGTATGGAATATCTACTTCACGTTATTGCTGGATTCGGCTTGTTCGAACAGCTTGAAAGTATTTCATCAGCTCAAAACATAAAAATATACAGAATTGCCATTGCCATGTTAGGTATTTCCAATTTAACAAAAATTGTAAGGATAAATTGTCTAATTATATAATAAATCTTTTGTTTGTTTATTTGTTAAAATGGTATATTTTATTATTTATCCATTATTTGTAGGCGTATTGGAGACGTTTTCCATAATTTGAATAAAAATAATGTTGGCTAACCCACAAGAAAGAACCATATGCAATTATTTGTGAGACGCTGTCTTACATTAATATTTTTTTATTGCTTCATATTTTAACATTTTTCTTTCATCGGACTAGCTCTCTTAGCTGGTCATCCGTAGTAAGAAATTGAGACCTTTTAGAAGGAAATCCAATTTGAATATGATGACTGCTTCAATTCCGTAATTACTGAGACGAGCTGGCTGTAAAATTGGCTTATACCACCTTAAACACAGCAACATTATAGAGTCATAGTGTGTACTGACTTATTACCTATGTAAGGGCCTATGTGTGTAATTCTATTACAAGGCAGAAATTTGAAGAGGAAGACTAAATATAGAAACGTGTTAAACTTTATACAGACTTCCTAAATGTCAACTCTAAGAGAATGCCAGTGGAAACATAAATATTTAATAATATATTGTTAAGTTATATTTCTCTGGATCATTAGCATTTATCATGGAGAATATCAGTCTGGTGTGAAATCTAAGAATTTTGCTCGTCAGTCTAGACATCCAGTTCGTAACCGAAAGGAAATGCACGATGTACAGTAATTGCTCACTAACATAACATAAAACATCCTTACAAAAGCTAGTAGAAATTTGATTAGATCTACTCATTAAATTAACAATTAAATACACATTTTGAGCGTAACTGATTTTTATCTTCAGCTTCATTTTATTGCTTTTCATCATTATAATTATTATTTAAACTCTATGAAGAAAGTATCAACAATGTCTGTTGATACAAAATCAATTCAAAAATTGTTTATTTAAAAAGATCAAGTAAGTTACTCACTTGCAGTGAGATAAACATCTAAAAATTTCAGTTTTCACTAAGTTACATAATTTTTACTACAAACATCTTTAAAATAGAGTAGAACCCATCCTTTGGGACACCCTTATTAAGTGGGTACTTGTCCATGAAATGAGGGGAAATATATCTTTAAACACTACGATCAACTCCTATTAAGGAGACGGTGACACTTTCTGAGTGTGTCAAATGGGTGAATAACCCCTATTAAGGAGACACTTAATTTTTTTCATTGAATAACAAGTAAAGCAGTCTCAAAATAAGAAAAATTCATTCAACTTTATATTTTGAGACCTTTTGAGCAATAAACCAGAATTTTGTCCCTTGAATACTTGAGTGAACATTAGTATGCCCTGGGAAGTATGGCCTACTACATGTGTTAGTACAGTATAAACCAATCTTGTCAATTTTGACCCTTAACCATGGGGATTTCTTTATCTAATCCTTACCATAAAATGCACCCTTCTTAATTCTAAGTTGTGACTCTATTCATGTTTCATCCATCCAATAGAAAGCTCAATATTAAGAAAAAGAATATTTGGTCATTAACAATATATCATGAAATAAGATTGGGAAATGAATTGTATTTTCATTGCAAATTATTGCTATAAATTTGTTCTAATTCTACTGTAACTGATTCTATGTCAGTAACAAAATTAAAATTATAAAGAATGTATGTCATCATTATATGAAAACATGCCAAAATTCCATATTAAAGGAACAATTTTACATTTTTGGTAGTGTCCCCTTAATAGGGTTGCCCCTATTCAGGGGACATACCTATTAAGGACTAGTCGTGAATGGTTCAATCCACTATTCAATCTATTATTGTAATAGGTGAATTAGGTTAATTATTTCAAAAATGACTGAGAAAACTTTTTAGGGAAACATGATTGTAATAATGATTTGTTTGCTTAGCAATCGATTGCTCTAGATTTATAAGTTGTTGACCTTATGTTACTTGATCAATGAACTTAAGACTATAAATATATAAAAAGTTCTTGTATTGTAGTCCACTTGAGGCAACAGAGAGATTCATCTTCAGCTTGTTTATTCTCACAAATGTATTCTATATTTGAAGGATTATATTCATAATGATAAAAGGTATTGTTTTCAACCTTGAAAAAGACAAACGATTTCTTTATTGTGCTATGGGTGGTGGTGGTGGTCGATGAAGATTTGGTCTGAATTTTTTTTATGTGTACATTGTTGATATTGTTTATGTTTTTTAATAATAAAATATTAAAAGACAACATTCAAGTAAAATTGTGAAATCATAACCTGTCAAAATGATTGGTAGATTAATTTTGTATGTCTTGTTATTTATTTATTTCTTCCAGCTGGTTAAAGATGATTTTGTAAAGAAAGAGACAAAAAAGATCGAACTACCCGCTGCATTAATACTTCCACCAATAACGCCGATATCCCGATACATCAAGGTGTATCCGTCGCCCATGCCCTTCCCGCGAACGACAAGTTCTGAAGTAGGATGGCGGTCCTCGTGTCCTGAACACAGCCTGGAGAAGTATGGCGGGAATGCACGACCAAAAGGAGGCCTCGTCAAGCAGTTAAAATGGCCACCAGAGGGCATCATTTAAAAGCGATATTCATCTTTCTTTTGTACTTCTGTTGGTTGTGATATAATTGCCTCAATATACAGTGACTATGGGAATGTTAACAAAGAAGATCTGGGGTGGGGTTTGTTTTACCTTGCTCTGATTGCCTAAAGAAAGAATGCTAACAGATACAGTACGTATATTTACATTTAACAAGCATACTATGATTTTTGCATGGGTAAACATCAAGGATATTTTTGTAAACAATGCACAAAAAAACTTAACAGAAAATATTGGGCTTGCTTCATGGTGTAGCAGTCTGTATTACTATTGAACTTGCAAACATACAAACAGTGATGTAGCTACAAGTATTAAGATGGCGATGGGGAGTGCGGATTGGGAAAATGGTTAAGTTAGGGGTTGGGAGTACTAGCTGCGAGAACCAAGTTACCCGAGTTAATTTTAGCTATATGGGTGGGCTGCAAACTTTTTCAGAGGAGTGTGCTCTATGCCCCTTCACCTGACGTACCCCACTGCTTACAAACATATTTGACATGTGGTAATACTAGTTGTGCACGTACACCTTTCCTGCATTACATCTTGTATCGTAAAGACCTGTACCTAAATCGCAGTAAATTAGACAAATCATGGAGGTTTAATACCCTCATGGACATAAAGGCCAAGGAAAAATAAAAGTGTCATTATTAATTTAAGCAGGAACTATGATTGAGGCACATGCCCAGACAAAATTGCCTGTACAAATGCTCTTCATGACAAGATGCTGGGTCATGTGAACGAAACCGGTCCTTCTTATTGGTCAAATATAAATAGGAAGCAAAACAGGCCTACAGCCGTCATCATGAATCTTAACATGGCTGACTGTGGCCTAATAAAAATGTTGTTACATGCGAATGTGTGTATAGAGTTTGCAAGCATAAGGATTAATAATTTATAAGTGAGCCTAACCAAAATATTAGAAGACCAGGAGACAGACCTCCCCTTCAGGTATCATTAAACTTCAAATAGCATTAAAATATACAGCCGAAAATAATAGCACTACAGACAGCATTTGCCATTACATACTTGATTACTAAAAGATGGGTATCTGCGTAGGCGTAGGCATTAATTTTGTGTACATATATCAATCAGTGGAAGCTGTTGGAAAATGAGGCTAATATATAAATGAAAAAAACAGGAGTTGGGATATTGGAGCAATAATATTATGATAATTTATATTTTGTAGCAGACAGTAGACTGAATTATGCTCGGTTAAATTAATATGGAATAAAATTAGTTTAGTTTTCTTTATACATTGCATAATTGAATATAATTGTGCATATTATTATGGTTTATTATTTATTTTAATATTAATATGTCGGTTTTATTAATGCCAACGACTCTATGCAATTTACTTTATTATCCCGATCATATCAATCACCTTGCTCCGAGGCGTAGGTTGGTTTTGGCCTGGGGAGGTACGGAAATTGTGAATAAGGAATGAAATACCTATTCCAATGAAAACTCTGTGATAATTTTCCCCAATTAATTTAACTAATATGCTACTGTGGTAGGAAGGGGATGCATACCAGGGGCGGATCCAGAAATGTCCGAAAGGGTGGAATTTTGCGGGGGGATTCCCCCGCGAAATTTTGTGTCCTAGACGCCGGAACATAACATTTGAGGCCTCCTGGGCTATCATTTTTTTCCTTTTCTCTCTCTTCCTTTTTTTTTTACCTCCCAAAAGGGGGGGGGGGCAGGCCCCACTAAATCCGCCCCTGCATACTCAACCCAGATTATTCCACTTTCCAGTATGCTGCAGACTAGCACCATGTACATTGGCATTCGTATACCTGCTACCTGTTATTGAGAAATATAATATGGACGAGGTGTCTTGCCCACAGGCTAACAGTGGATCTATGGATATTAACCTAGGGGAGGGCTAGATTGGACTAGGATAGGAATGAGGGATGTTAGCTGGGGTAATGGGGTTATACTTCACCTTGGGCACAGAGTGATATTTTTAACTAATTAAGTGTAATTTTTTCTTAGTAAAGTGTGAGGATGCTTGTGAGGGAACGTTTTTATCCTTTTTTGAACAATTATCAATTATTGGTTGTTTCTTCCCCCACAAATAGCAATGATGTTCATAATCTATTTTGTTAATATTAAGAACAAAGGTATGCAGTATATAAGAATTATTTTGTATAACTGATCTTGAAAATACAGTATTAAAATTGAAAGCTATATATTTTGGTGTCATTTTGTTTCCCTATTTTAATCTTGTATTTAAACATGGATAATTATTATGAATGGATTGCAGAGAAGGAATATAGACAAGCATAGAGCATAAGAGATGAACTAATTCAGTAATGATTTGGTTTTAATAAATTTGGAGAGGCCTACAAACACAATTCATTACACAGCAACACTGTTCAATAATTTTGAATTTAAAGTAAATTTTGAAGTTACAGTAAATGAGCAAGTTATTTCAAATTGATTTGCTATTTTCACAGTGGCGTAGAAAAATATTTTTCATTGGGGGGGATGATTGGCGTGTTAGCCAGTGTCGTAACAGGCGCGGGGGGGGGGGGGGGACAACTGCCCCTCCCCTGACAGTTTTTACCGGGCCAACCAAGCCGTCGTACCGGGCTGGGTAATAAGAGAAAAGAAAGAGGGGAGAGGGAGGGAAAGAGAAAGAAGAGGAAAAGAAAAGGAAAGAAAAAGAGAAGAGAAAAATAAAGACAAAAATAAAAAGGAAGATATCATAATGACCAGACTCACAACACCCATGCAACCCATTCTCCACTTCAAAAACTGTCATAACTCCTTTGGCTGCCCTATGGCGTAACCACTGGGGGACAAGGAGAAAATATCTATCTTTTAAAAATCTTTCCCCCCCCCCCTTTATAAATTCCCTTTCATCCCCTGAAAGTGCCTAAAAACCTCAAATTTTGCGCGCATTTCTTGTTAACATGGCCCAATTCCCTAAAAAAATTGCACATTTTAGGGAGTTTTGATAAATTCCAACGAAATTAGAATTAAAAAACACCGGGGTCAAGGGGAAAATATCCATCTTTGGAAATCTTTCTCCACTCCTTGACAAATGCGTCCTCAGAAAGTGCCTAAAATTCTCAAATTCTTTGCGCGCATTTCTTGTTACGGTAGGACAATTTCCTCTATAAATTGCACATTTTAGATAGTTTTCATCAATTCCGACGAAATTATACAGCAATTTCCCTTCCTGATGAGCCTGGAGATGTGAGCACAACATAAAGTCTCTATCACTGATTGGCTGACAGGCGATAAGTAGGCACATTTTACACACATCGCCTGGCCGCTAGTACGTCAGTTTGTGTAAACATTACGTTAAACAGATTATTATATAGCTATCCTTTGCATCATCAAGACTAATACAGTTGTAATTTTTTATGGTCAGCTGATTTCCAACGATTATCTCAGCCAAAAAATGCACTAACATACCAAAGTCTGATTTTTAGATGACGGATGTGTTCAGTGAAATGACATTTCCAAAGTTCAACGACACCAGTAAGATTACAGAGTGATAATTTCATTCTACAATATATCCTGGCCAATATACACCAACAGCGTGAATGAGCTGCTTGTTGACAAATGTTCTAGTTATTGTTTTTTTCCAAAGCATTTTTGTTTTTCAGTATTTTGCATCATAAATCATATAATAGTATATCATTTGCGCTGTCTCTTATACACATCTAGATGTGTATAAGAGACAGAAACTACATACCATCCATGTTTGAACATAAATTCAAAGTACACATATTTATGGCAGAGATGAGCCAAACTAGTAACTCCTTTCAAAAAAGAGTTTAAACATACGGCTGTTTAAAGAATAGTATTTCTCATAAACCATCACCAAATTGTTAAAAATTGTTGTTTTAACATTGAAAATGGGCAAAATAATAACATAGCATGATGTATAAATATATAAAGTTTAGCTTAGAGCAATAAAATAGATTCTAAAAATGTTGACATTCCAGCATGTTTTGGCCATTATCTCTGAAACACAATTTGCAATGAGTGACTGGTTTGGCTTGTCTTTGCCACATATGTAAGGGGGATGTATCTGTGGGTGTGTCTATGGGGAATCTGATTGCAGGAGGATGTTTGTGTAGAATGTGACTGTGGGGAATCTTTACAGTGTCAAGATTCCTGTGGGTACATATCTGTTATAATGCATTGCATATGGGTGTCTGTATTAATTTACTTCTTTTGGTGTGTTGGTAAAAATGTAACTATTCAATATACAGATGGACCTTTGTATAAAATATTTAAGACCTAAATATCACCCAATGTCTTAAAATACAAAATGAAGAATGTTCATAATTAAGTAATTCAAATTTGCAGGTGGTTGAAGTTAATCTTGTAAGTACATGGACTGAATGATTTAATCAAGCAATCAATCAATCAATCAATCAAATTATAAGGCACATTATAGAACTGTCCACAACTGATAGACCGATATTACAGTCCCACTCCCATCTCAAGCAATTTATTAGTAGTGAGTATACATCCCTATGCTACTGCCCATTAAGGCTACTTTTCTGTATGTACAGTATAAACAATGGCAATGATTTTGCATAATAATTTATCTCTAAACTTTTACAGCTTCCTCTTCACAGAGCCATTAGCTGTTAATTGCTTTATGTTTCATTTAATAGCAAGCACAAATGAAGCATCATCCAGGGTAGCACACATGCAAGGTCAGCGTCTCCCCCACTCCAGTTCTGACTAACTCTACCCCCTCTCCAGTTCTGACTAACTCTACCTTCTCCCCAATTCTAACTAACTCTACCCTCTCTCCAGTTCTGACTAACTCTACTCCTCCCCAGTTCTGACTAACTATTCCCTCCCAGTTCTGACTAACTCTCCCCTTCCTAATTCTGACTAACTCTCCCCCTCCCCAGCTATAACAAAGCAGTATAGATTCCACATACCCCAATTTGGATCTGTGCATCATGGTAACTAAAGAGTGGTTTTGTGTCACACACTGTTATAAAATTGTGAGAAAAATACAAATTCTTTCCCCCACCCCCACCTCAAAATAAAACACAAATGTAGTGAAAAAAATTAACAGTTATTCTTAAAGAAAAATTAAATACATTCTGTCACAGTTTTGAGAGCAAACTGTTTTATTATTATTATTATTATTATTATTATTATTATTAATACCTCCATGATGTTACTATCAGAACCTGACGGATTCCCCTCCTCCTTATTGCCTAACAGCTCTTTCATCAGTCACTCCACACTAGAGAAAGAAACAAAGAGAAATGTTTAACCATGGTTTAACCAATCGCAAGACTAGTACATCACATGGTAGATTGGGAGTTCTGCTGTTGGCGAGACGAATGATACTAATTTCTGGAAGTAAATGCCATAACATTCGAAGTAGGTTAGTGCTAGATAATGCTGCATCATTATGTACAACGAAATGTGGCAGTCTGCATACATTTGCATACAACATTAGTCACTATTTATCAAGATTTAAAAAAAAAAAAAAAAATAGCTGAAGAATGTAGCAACTCAAAAGTAGCAAGTAAGCCTACATATTTTTTTGGTTCAACAAAAAAAAATCCAATAGAGTTGAAGAATACATGCAAGCAGGATCATTACATGTTGTGACTCTACCTCCCCAAACCATGGATCTATATAACTCTATGATCAAACATACTATTTTGTAAGAATAAATAAAGGGATAGAGAGAGTAAACTTGGTTTCTGGAAGCACATATAACATAGACACCAATTAAATTTGCTATGGCATGCACTAAGCACAATGAAAGGGTGGGTAATCCAAAATTTGGGTCTGGAACTCAGGCCAATGATAATGCTAAACCTCCATGAAAAATGAACTAAATTTAGCTAAACATTTTCAACGTTTGTTCAGTTTTATGAATTAATTGGATAGCAGATATTGAAAATTTCCTGAAACCCTTCCGGAAACCCTACCCAACTTGCGATTATTAATTTCCTTTAGTCTAGACTTTCTGCAAATACCATACATAAATAATAAGACAAAACAAAAGTATTTGTCTAGGAAATATCAAATAAATATGCTGGTATTGTCAATGTAAAATGTCAAAGATATAGAAAGAAGGCCACACGACTATTGTCTACGTGATTAAAATGCACGGCTTTACAGGATTTACCATCTGCCTTGAAATCTGGAATAAACTTCAAAAATTAAACAACAAATTGAACTGCTCATTCACAAGGATCAAAACAGTTTTCAACCTCCAATTACACCCTATTCCTGTGGAATTCGTTGTGATTCGTTGCGATCGGACACCGTGATAATCGGGAGTAATAAGGACAGTAGCATCCAATCGCAATGGGTAACAACTGCGATATCGATTAATATTGGTGAGCTTTCACACACGATTGTGAATTGTGATTAGATGTTGCAATTGCTACAACCAATCGCAATGTGATGTGATGCTAGTCTAAATAGGGTATTAGATTTATTGAAAAGATCTGCTAATTTATAGACGTTTTCTACAAACTTTAAATAAATAACCAGCCAATTTATGGGTCTATGCAAGAAATATAGCTAATGCATCTGTTAAATAGTTGAAACTATTTTTTGTTCTATTTTCCAATTAATAGCTACTAATATAGCAATTCTAAATATCGAATTATATTTCTTTAAGTTCTTTAATTGATGGTATTCTTTATACAGCAATTTCCCTTCCTGATGAGCCTGGAGATGTGAGCACAACATAAAGTCTCTATCCATGATTGGCTGACAGGTGATAAGTAGGCACATTTTACACACATCGCCTGGCCGCTAGTACGTCAGTTTGTGTAAACATTACGTTAAACAGATTATTATATAGCTATCCTTTGCATCATCAAGACTAATACAGTTGTAATTTTTTATGGTCAGCTGATTTCCAACGATTATCTCAGCCAAAAAATGCACTAACATACCAAAGTCTGATTTTTAGATGACGGATGTGTTCAGTGAAATGACATTTCCAAAGTTCAACGACACCAGTAAGATTACAGAGTGATAATTTCATTCTACAATATATCCTGGCCAATATACACCAACAGCGTGAATGAGCTGCTTGTTGACAAATGTTCTAGTTATTGTTTTTTTCCAAAGCATTTTTGTTTTTCAGTATTTTGCATCATAAATCATATAATAGTATATCATTTGCGAGCTGGCACGCCCCCCACCAATCACTGAGCCCCGCCACTTCACCTTCGACCCCATCCCCCACCCCATTACCCTCTCCGTTTCAAAACTCCCAGATATGCCACTGGATTCAGCTGGTCACTTTTTAAGTCAAAAATAAAGATACACTAATATCAGCATGACTATGATATTAACAATATTTCTCATTTTATGAATCATAAATATTACCATCCTGTTTATACACTTACTTAAATATCCGGCCAGGAATTGTGAAAGATGCCTATTATACCATCTTCTCACCGATCGGAATACCAACAATGAAAATTCTAATAATATGCTTGGTAGAATAATTTCATTCATACCTTAATTACTGAAATTAATATTCCCTTAAACATATCATTCTGTATTTAATTTACAAAACCATTCATGCATAATTAATTCCTAGCTGATTTTCCAATGAGGTAATTAAATACTTAAAGTAGAGGTCTTACGAATTCAACAAGTAATTTATGGTCACCTGCATTTAAGCGAAATACCATGTATCCAACAAGTAATTGAGTGATAACCGGAATTAAAGCAGCAACCCGTTGTGAATACGGAATGCAATTTGAATGGTCAACCGCATTAAAGCAGCAATCGAAACATTCCATAAAAATCGAATGATCATGCCCCTGCATCAGAGTGGAAAGACCACATTTTCACCCTCATTGAAGTGTAGTATTTAATACCATGTATTCACCAAGAAATTTAATGGTCACCCAAATCAAAGTGTCAGTACCATGAATTCACCAAGCAATTTATAGATCACCCATATCAAAGTGGCAGGACCATGTATTCACCAGTACCATGTATTAACCATGAAATTTATGGTCACCTGCATCGAAGCAGCAGTACCATGTATTCACCAGCAATTTAATGGTCACCTGCATCAAAGCAGCAGTACCATGTATTCACCAAGTAATTGAATGGTCATACACATCAAAGCAGCAGTAACATGTATTGGCCAAGTAATTGAATGGTCATACACATCAAAGCAGCAGTACCATGTATTTATTCGCCAAGTAATTAAATGGTCAACCGCATCAAAGCAACAGTTTCATGTATTCGCCAAGAAATGTAATATAGTCGCAAGCATCAAAGCAACAGTATCATGCATTCACCAAGAAATTTAATGGTCGCCCACATCAAACTGCTGTCCCACACATTCAACAAGTAATTTAATTGTCACCCGCATTAACATGGCAGTCCCTATTACTCAACTCAATCGTATGTTAGAGGCTAGTTTAATTAGATATCTTATAATAGACGGAGATATTGTAGTTCCCCAGATCACTGTGTGGGAGTATGACTTAGTTAAATGTTCTTTATTGCTCGTCTTCCTGGAATCTGAGTCCTGGAATTTGTATTATCAATACCTGCAAGAAAAGAAAAATAAATAGTTAAATATCAGTTACAATTACATAATTCATAAATTGTAATTAAATAATTAAAGAGGATTTTTTATATTGTGGATTAAATTAAGCAGCTCATATAAGGTGTTATGATAGACCCGATTAAGTCAAACTATTAGTGTACTGCAGGTCCTCAGGTATATGGTCACCTTTTACTCTACATCTGATTTATGTACAAGAATTTACCTCTACAAATGCCCAATGTGTGATTTGAAGTATAGTTGACTTTTACAAATACATTCAGAGAAATAAAACTGATAAGCTTTAAAACATTTGGAAATTTACACTTTGATTGTACTAGTAAGGCCCTATAAAAAATATAAGTTTATCACCCTATCTGGGCAGGAAAAGTGATGAGGGAGGGAGGCTTTTTTTTTTATTTTTTATTTTGCTAAAGCCAAATATAACCCTTGGTTTGTTTGCTGGTGCATTGATATTCAAAGTAAAACATGATTTAGATAATGCAAACAATATCTACTAACTATTTAATAAAATAAATGAAAAAAATAAATAAATACAATTTTTTAAAAAAATTTAAAAATTTGAAAATTTTTTTTTTCTTTTTTTAGTACCATAAAAGGCATGAGCGTGAGGGTGATAAACTAATAATTTTTTTTATTGGG